TCCAGCATCCACGAATCCTGAGCAACGATTTTCAGGAGGGAAGTGATACCGTCTGTCGATCCGTGCCACAACTTCTCGTACGTCCCACTAGCATACACGTGTCCTTTCCTCGTCGTAAGGAAAAGGTCGCGTCGGCACGGGAGATACGGGAGGCTGGCGCCCGATCGAAGGACGTTCGTCAGTCCACATATTAATCAATTGCAAACCCCCCGATACGTCATCAAGGAAAAACAACACCCGCACAACAACCAATCAATTCTTTTTGACACGAGAGAGAGAGCGCTTATCAGTTTGATCATGCACTCAACCGAGGGACCGACCCGCGACTCAGGTTTAGTAAGCCAACGCGGCGTTGATCCGAGGAGCCTTGTTTTTCGAGGCTGCCCTGTAGATTGGTGGCTGATGTCTTGCAGCATAAGGCAGGTGGCATGTGCAGTGCATTCAGAACCACAGATCTAAACACTCTTGCATTCCCGAACAAAATCCCATCGAGCGTCGAGTCTAATCAATGCAAAAAGACAAGTATCTACGTACATACATCCACTGTGGAAGGTGCGAAAATGACCAGGGGTGCATGGGTCAGCAATCAACCGATAAAACTGTATACACGCATCCACCATTCACAAGACGAGAGGATCAATTCCTCGGGATTACCCAGGAAACTAATGGAAGAGTTCCGGAAGAAGTTCCTTCGCACAGGAAAGCACACAGAGTCTTTCTTATTCACGGGGAAGACAAACTTATGACACAGCGTCATTCAACTCAGAGAAAGAGGAGAGAGAGAGAGAGAGAGAGAGAGAGAGAGAGAGAGAGAGAGAGAGAGAGAGAGAGAGAGAGAGAGAGAGAGAGAGAGAGGAGATACGAAGATCCGAAAGAGGACACTCGGCATTGCAGTCGTGCACTCACACCAAAAGATAAAGATTCGTAACAACAAAGGCGCTTTCGCCGTGAATTTCCAGTATGGCCCCGTGCCAATCACTCACTCAAGTCCAATTACCGATCCTCATACCCGCATCGATGATCCCGGCCATCGCGTGCCAACTTCCGCACTTGCGATCGTCACCCCCCTGACGCAAACTCGACGCGGTTCGCCCAGATCCCACAGTCCGTCGTGGTGATCAAGCACGCAACCGGCCAGCCTATCGTCAGCCCGACAAGACTTTCCGACTCGCCCCAAACACTTCGCCTAGCCACTGCTTCCCGAAAGCCGGCTTGGGAGTCGAGAACGTAAGAGAGTTTTGCGGACGCGTTTGCGGAATTTATAGTTGCGAGAAGGGGGATAAGGGAGGGAGAAGGCAGAGGGAAGGTCGAGGTGTAAGAGAAGAAGCAGGAGGAGGAGACTTAGTGGGGAGCGCGCTGCGGAAGCCATGTTGATCCTTCAGAACCCAATGGTTGGCCAATCAGATTCGTCGCGCAATAGGAAGATCCTCTTGTTCAACGCGTCTGATTGGTGAGCAGGGGTGTGGTTTCCCATCCCCATCTGCATTGAATGCATTGTTCCTCAATTCCCATGCCCTTCGATGACAGTCAGGTAGCAGATGGAGTAACCAGAAGAGATTGAAGCCAGATTAGACTGGCTTGCTTCTTTAATGTCATTAGTTGCAGAGAGCACCAAATGCCAAATAGATCGAGATTGCCCAGCGCAAAGCCTGGTTCCTTGGCCAGTCTCTCTGCTGCAGAAACCACTGGTTGTTTCTTCATTTTAGCTTGGAGCAGTTGAGCACCCACCTTGGTTTTGTAACAACAAACTGGAGTGTAGTTTTTGGATCTAAGCCAAGCTTCCAGCCATAGAGCAGAGGTTCCACCTGAAAAGTGGAAATATCTTCTGATATAAGTACTGCCTCCTTTTTTTTGGCTGATGACTTAAGCCAAACCCAACACTCATCGAGACCTACAGTCGTAGGTATAATCAACTCCCCTACCTTTCTCAGGGGCAGAGGAGTAGAGTCTGAACCTGCTTTCTTATTCCACATCTGAACCTTGATACCCTGAGAAAGTTCAGGCCCTATGACTCTTAGGATCTGCCCCTTGTGTGCAGGGTAATCCAAGTCCCTTGTCTGTGTTCCTCCCCCTCAGGCCCTATGACTCTTAGGATCTGCCCCTTGTGTGCAGGGTCCATAATCCAAGTCCCTTGTCTGTGTTCCTCCCCCTTAGGTAGGAGTGAAATCCAATGATCAGGAATGCAGTCTTTCAGCAGCTTGTAATTTGGTTCTAAATTCCGCAGTCTTGGCAGTTTCTTTTTCAGTTGTTCGAGTGGGAGCCATACATCTGCTTCAGCATCCCAAATGTCCCTAATCTGCAGTATTCCCTTTTCAACCCAGGCCTTACCAAAAGAGCCGCATGACCCATCAGCTTTAAGCCAAGACCGCTCCGCCGTAACAATTAATGGATTCTCAAAGAGAATTTGATTAAGTACCTCTCCCCTTGTTTCCAGATGGCGGAGAACCTCAGGGAGTAGCTTGTGCCAAGCATAGAGTATGCTTCGCCATAACCCTGACCTGGGTCTGCGGCCTGTAAAGGACGGAATGAAAAAACAGATCCAGACGTCTGCAGTTCTCAACAGCTCCCATTCCTTAGACATGATGTATTCACCTATCCTTACCCAAAGCTTGGATTGCAGCCCGAAGGTGGTTGAGATCACCCATTTGCATAGCAAGGCGATATTTTGATGAATGGGGTCCAGTAAACCCAACCCCCCGGACTGTCTTGGTAAGGCTACAGTATCCCAGGCAAGACAGTCCGTGGGTTTGGATATACTGGACCCCATTCATCAAAATATCGCCTTGCTATGCAAATGGGTGATCTCAGCCACCTTCGGGCTGCAATTTGTTTTTTCAGTTCGAGAGTTCGTGAAAGGAAATTCGAAACGAACTTTGTTGAAAAAAAAAAAGTTGAAGGATTCGGGCCTCACAGCCACGTGAGGCACCATTTTGGCAATTGCCAGAAAGTCCGGTTCGTGTCTTTTCTGATTAAATTTGCTGCCACTATGTGACCAGGCAGGGTGGCATTTCAGCAAAATAGGGATAACAAAATTCACAGATTTGCTGCTATGCCACCCCTGTGTGAGTACGCCCTTACCTGGGAAGGGTCAGTTGGATGATGATTGCCCTTCATGAAGGTCTGTAGCCAACACTTCTGTGAGTGTGAGTGTGCGTGGGTTGTCTGATGTGTGGGAGAGTGTTGGCCTTAGACACTGCTGGTATTGGATGGGGGTGGGGAAAGATGAAAAGGGAGCCGCAGCTACTGGCAAGTGCTCTGTCCTTGTGTTAGCCGGGCCCCCACTGGAGGCCCCAACCCTGCACCTAAAGGTGAAAGGATTTGAGAGCAGAATATAGGGGAGGAAAAAAAAGGGCAAAAAAAGGGGGGGAAAAAGGGGAAAAAGGAAAAAACAGGAAAAAAAAGGGAAAAAAGGGAAAAGAAAGGGAAAAAAAAGGAAAAAAAAAAGGAAAAAAAGGGAAAAAAAGAAGGAAAAAGGGAGGGCTCCAGGGTATCTGTTGTGTGGGGAGCTCCACCGGCCCGGGGCTAGGTCTCACTTACACGAATTAAGCGACATTGACCGTAGGTAACAAAGATCCACGGCCAAAATCTCTTAATATGTGCACGTGGGACCTTGCCCCGGAAAAGGGGTCCAGTTTTTCTCATTTTCTCACAGGCAGCAGTGGTTGCCTTTCCATGAGGGGATTGACTGGCATGGCTCGTTATACCCCCAAGGTTTCCTTCCTGGGTTCAGACGGTACTCGCCAAAACAGGTACCTTTCCCTTCCCCCACCAGTGGTCCTAGGTGCACACAGAGAAGAGTGGTCCCTACGCAAGAATGATACACACACGACACAAATCGAGAAGATCTCCCAATCTCCCTAACCTAGATAAAAACAGCAGGAAAAATCCGACGACAATGCAGTCTCACCGAAGGACCAAGCAGAGGGGAGACGCAGCGTCGTCAAGCAGGGCACTATGTTTTTTTTTTTTTTTTCCGGTCTTTGCAGTAAAATGCTGAGAGTAAAATTTGGCGGTGGGAATCAGATGGTTGAAACCAGCTCCGGATGACAGGCGCCCGACCCTCCAATGAACAAGTAAACAAGGGGTCTAGGACGATTAGGACTTGTTGTCCTAATCGTCCTACTACACCCGGGGCGGGGTCCCACTAGCAAAGAGGATCGAATTAGGAGCCCGAATCTGGATAGGTTCTTAGCGGAGATGCAGAAAAGCAGATCTGTCACGGTTTTCTGCATCTTTCCTCATTCACGTCCAGATTCAGGCATTTCAAGCCAATCCTCTTTGCTTAGGTAGTGGGACCTCGCCCCCGTTCTCACCCTTACCTTTCCCGCGGACCCCGCTATCAGGGGAGAAGAGAGGTGCGGACGACCGTAAAAGGCCCACAGTCTGCTCAGGAACCAAACGTGAAAACTGGAGATCGAATCTTCACGTGGAATATAAATTAAAAAAAAGAAAAAGAAAAAAAAAGAATCTTCAGGTGGAAGAAGATGGCAAGATACTTCCGCCTATTCGATAAAGCCTATGTATCTCGCCACGTTTTACGTGACGATGCGTTGAGCAATTCCCAAGGGAATTCAGAATCATTCATTTTCTTCGGGCCAGATCCCACTAGCCCCTATTCTTTTGTTCATTTCTGACCGTTGATCTTCTTTTAATCGAGGGTGAAAAATCAAAATAATCCAGGGTAGTGGGATCTGACCCGAACTTTGGGTCTCTGACTGTGAGTATACCGACTGACCGAGACCCACCTCGGTAGACCGGCGAAGCCAATGGTGTCGCCAACTGGTCGCCCGTGTTCCTGCGACCGTGTTCCTGCGACCGTGTTCCTGCGACCGGTCTCCACACAAATCCGCGCGCGCGACTCCTCCCTCCCTCCTGCCGAACGACTCCCGGCGCCATTCGGGCGCGCGCTTTCGCTTTCGCTTTCGGCAGTGAGAGCGCGCCAGAAACCGAAATAGGACAGTCTCAAATACGGCCGGAGGGCGAATGCCGCCTAAGCGGGGGCGATCATCTCGCCACCCCCGGCCCTAAACCAGTAGCGCGTACTTGGTTGTTCGACGGCCTTCTGGTCGGCGGGCTGCTCGGCTCGGCGCGGCTCGGCTTGCTCCTGGTCGCGACCGACGGCTCGGCCGTCATCGCCAAGGTCGAGCAGGTCCTGCTGTTGTCGCCATTGCACCGAGCTGAACATCCTGTAACACTCTGGTTCCTAGTGAGCGGGGGTAAGGGGGAGAGAGAGAGAGAGAGAGAGAGAGAGAGAGAGAGAGAGAGAGGACATAGAACTGAAGTGCGAAGGCAGGGAAGGGAAAACGGCAATCGAGAGTGCAGTCAGGAGCAGAAGGAATCAGCAGAAGGAAGGCAGCCATCATGTGCGGAATTCTCGCCGTTCTCGGCTGTGCCGACATGTCGGCGGCCACTCGGCGTCGAATCCTACAACTCTCAAGACGGTAGGCTGGCGACTTTCCTCCCCCCACGCCTCTCCCCCGTCTTGTCTCTGTCTGTGTATGGCGGCTTCCTCTTTCCAATCCCTCCCGTGTGTGTATGTGTGTGTGTGTGTGTGTGTGAGAGAGAGAGAGAGAGAGAGAGAGAGAGAGAGAG